TCGATAAATTTGAAGATTTTATTGGCTAGTTTGATTATGATGGGCTATACGAGGGTTGGTTTTCAGTTTGTTTCTAGGTGATTTAGCAGAAATTGGGTTTGTAGTATTGGAGTTGTGGAATTTATTTGCTGTTTGTTTTTCCTTAGAATATCAGAGGACTGCTGGATATTAAGGTGTTAATTACATTTCCAGTTATAGCCTCTCTGGGCTTTCTTTTGATTGTTCTGTGGATTTTATGATCCAAAACATATCATTTTGGCTTCATTTTCTAGAATATAGGTTTCATTAATGTTGTACTTATGAATTTGAACCTCTTGTGGTTGGTTGATCCCTGTAGGAAAGAAAATACCTAATTAAGGCTATTTGTGACCTTACATTTTCATTAGATACCGAGTTCTTATGCTTAGAAAATCTGGGGCATTCATCAGAGTTTTCATACTTTTATTACAATAGTTTAAAATTGAATCCATGTTTGTATCCAGGTTGATAAGGCCCATAGTTGGACATGTATGGATATTTATGTCTTTGCGACTCCATACACTGTCACATGGGATTACTATTTCCTGTCTCGGGAGCATACACTTGAGTTTAAAGAGTGGCAAGGAAAAGCCGAGTTTGAATATGTAAGTTGCCACTTTCTAGAATTCATATATTACTTGATATTCCAATTTCCTTTTAAAAGAGTTTAATTTTGTCTTTAATGTTACCCAATCAGGTGAAAAACAGGGGAGTTTCTATTTTCCTCATGCAAGCAGGGATGCTAGGCACCCTTCAAGCATTGTGGGATGTCTTTCCCCTGTTTACAAATACTGGATGGGGTGAGAACTCCAATATTGGGTTTCTCGAGAAGCACATGGGTGCTTCCTTTCATCAACGTCCTCAACCTTGGGTCACAAATATTAGCGTAGATGATATTCACTCTGGAGATTTCCTAGCATTATCTAAAATTCGTGGGCGGTGGGGTGGATTTGAGACACTAGAGAAGTGGGTCAGTGGAGCTTACGCTGGTCATTCTGCTGTTTGTTTAAAGGATTCTGAAGGAAATCTTTGGGTTGGTGAATCAGGACATGAAAACGAGAAGGTGAGTTGCAAAGTTAAAATACTTTGGTATTGTAACATTTGGTTTCAGGTTCTGTTTTGCTCGTGTGTGATTTGCATGTAAACTTTTTATGTTTTTTTGTTTTACATTTTTCCTCCAGTTTTCTGTATAGTCAGGCACCATTTCCAGGTCAAAGAGTGCTAATTTTAATTATTATTATTATATAAGGATAAGTAATGCTATAAATATGTCCTTTGCCTTTGGGCTTTGGTTCGATTGGCAATGCTGGGACGAGATGGGTTCTAAGCACCAACAAATATGAAAAAACATTAAATTATCTCTCTCTCTCTCTCTCTCTCTATATATATATATATATATATATATGTATGTATGTATGTATGTCTTTATTTGTATATGACTATGTATATAAATCTGTTGTCCTTTTTTCCTTTCATGTTCTAGGGAGAAGATGTCATTGCTGTGCTGCCATGGGATGAGTGGTGGGAGTTTGAGCTGAATAAAGATGATGCCAATCCCCATATTGCGTTGCTTCCCTTGCATCCTGATATACGAGCAAAATTTAATGAGACTGCTGCCTGGGAGTATGCAAGGAGCATGGAAGGCCAACCATATGGTTATCATAACTTGATATTCAGCTGGATAGATACTATACAAGACAACTATCCACCCCCTTTGGATGCTCACGTGGTATCATGTTATAAGTACATTTAAGATTTCATTATCAGACTGTTACAGTATTAGTAAATCAAAATTAATATTAATTTATTTTTCTTTTTTTTTCTTTTGGTATGATGATTTAGTGTCTGATTTAGTTAGTATTGAACTTGGTGGTTTCCATTACCTGTTTGGGTTGAGGCCTGGGATTCTATAGAGGACTTAAAAAGCTTCCTGTTAGGTGCTTTACCCCAATTATTCTCCTTATGGTTTATAATTTCTGGCTTTCAGACAACCACTTTATAAACTTGCAGGTACAGATTAATCTGTATCAAGGTGCTCATGCAGCTATTATACATGCTTCCTAGTGGCCTAAAAGGGGTTCATGATGGGGATGAGGGTAGACATTCCTTCTAAGTAAAACCTTTTTAATAAGATGATGATCTGTGGATGTTTACAACTGGAAAAGAAGATAGAAAGAAATGCTCTCGTTAGGTTCATAGTTAAATTGGTGAGCCAACTAAGAGAATATAGTTAAGTCCTGCTATCTCCCTCTCTCTCAGACATGTCTTGCTTGTGGATGCTTCTACGAGCTTGAAGAGGTTTTCTTATTCATTGGTCCTTATTCTTAGCTCTATGGTTATGCAGGTTGCTTCTGTTATGACTGTTTGGAATCATATACAGCCCACATATGCTGCGAACATGTGGAATGAAGCCTTGAACAAGAGACTTGGAACGCAGGTGTTGTGAAGCTTTTTCCTTGCATTGCAATCCTGTGGTTATCTTGGAACTCTCTCTTTAAAAACTATGTTTTGTTGCCACAAGGGCATCAGATTTTTGGAGTAAATGATAAATCAGCATTCCTTAAGTTGGAAATATCAACTGATCAAGATTTTTACTTTTGGTTAGAAGTTAAGCAATTAGTCAATATCATCTTTGAAATTCATTGTGTCATTATTATCGTTCTGAGTTTCTGATGTACCCATTGTATTTCATGCAGAACCTTAGTTTTCCGGATATTCTAGTTGACGTTGAAAAGAGAGGATCATCTTTTGATGAACTACTGACAGTTCCCGAACAGGATGATTGGCTATACAGTGATGGGAAGTCAACATCGTGTGTGGCCTTCATTCTTGAAATGTATAAGGAGGCAGGACTGTTTGATCCAATCGCTAGCTCTATCCAAGTCACTGAATTTACGGTGAGTTTATCCAGAACAAAATTTGAATCTGTTTGCTTTAGAATAAACAGGTCGTTTGCATCGTCTCCAAAATTTAATCCACTGTCTAAAAAGGAGACACAAGATCAATGATGACTGACCTCTTTTATTCCCTTTTCAATAATAATAGATGTAATATTATCGTTAGTCTTTTTAATTTTAAATAAGGGAAGTATAGTGACATTTGAAAAAAAATAAAGAAATTAGATTGTTGAGGTTCATGTAGCTTCCCATTCAAAACGTCATCCATTGGGTGCTTTGCAAATTTGTTGTTTCATGAGGAGTTTATATGTTCGTTCTCGTGGATTTAACTTTATTTGCCATAAATGCAGATAAAAGATGCTTATATGCTGAAATTCTTTGAAAATAATTCAAGCCGCCTGCCAAAGTGGTGCAATGACGGGGACACCGTGAAGCTTCCTTTCTGTCAGATTAAAGGGAAGTATCGAATGGAACTACCTGAATACAACAGCATGGAACCATACTCCCATATGAATGAAAGGTGCGAATCACTGCCCCCAAAGTACTCCAGGTCACGGAATTGCTAGGTCCTCAATTCGTTGCTCGTACAAATTTGTTAGGCCTATGCTCGTACAAATTTGTTAGGCCTATGGTTGATGCCATACCAGTTTCTTCTGCTTTTAGTGTAGTTCTATTGTTGGATACAAATGAATGAAAGATGGCGAAGCTGTAAATACGTTCGGTAGTCAGGTACAAAAGGAGGGCAGTGTTAGTGTTCCAATTGTTGTACAATGTACATGAAAAGGAATATGAATTGTAATGCATGTCTTTCTTTTCCACAACATTTTTTTTTTCTTATTTTTTTTATAATGTCATTCCAAATTGATTGAAGTGTTCCCTAGTCTCAGAAAGGAGTTGGGAACAACATATTGGTTTTTTTTTTTCTGTTTACAAGAATCTCTCAGGTTTATCTGTCACTCTAGGGTATCTCACAAATTGCTGGTTTGGCCATGCTTTTCTATTAAAGATGCAAGTATGACTTGTAATATAATGCAAACTGCAATCATTTATGTTAACAAGTACTTTTCGTACGACACATTTGACAAAACAAAAGACAAGTGTCGAGTCGAGTAAGGTGGCTCAAGTTCAGGGGAATTATTCGATCATTATTTCGTTTGTCTAATCAGACTGCAAATTTAGGTTTGTCAAGAGAGATTCCAGGCATCGTAACAGTCAAATACATGAAGACACATGATCTTGTCATCATTTGAATTTTGAACTCAGATTGTATGAAGAAAATTTAGATAGACGTTAATAACAAGAGGGGTGTCGCCAACTCACTAGCAGCCCAATTTATGAATGATAGAAGAACAAAGATGTAGACGGGATAAAGTTGAATTTTGGCCTATAGTTAGGGGTGTTCAACATCCGATCCAATTTGTCTAAACCAACCGATTCAATTCAATTTTGGTCAATTTTTTGATGGTTTGGCCGATCAAATTGGATCCCTAAATTTTAAAATCGAATCTAATGCAATCCAACCTAGTTGGTTTCATGCTTTTTCACATTTGAAATTAAAAGTCATAAACAATTTTAGTCATTTGATGAAACTAAAACCAATCATCGAATCCAATCAATCAAATACAAAATGGATCAGACTGAATCGGATCCTAAGCTCTAATGAGATTGCATCACATGTGTGGATTGATTAAATTTTGTCGGTTTAAAACCAACGAACACCCCTACCTATAATAATGTAACACGAAAATTTCCAGCAAAAAGAAAAGTGTAGCACACCAAAATATGATAAGCAAAACAGAGTCTATTTGATTCAATAAACATATCACTTTTGTTGTCTTAAGCAAAATAACATCCCTTTTTAGTTATTAGATCAATTCCAACAAGAGCTATAAGGGGGCAAAAACACCAATCCCAAAAGAACAAGAACTTTCAGTGTTGGTTTTGTTAGTTAATACCCACAAATGTAGCTTTGCAGACCTTGTTTCAAAGGCATATATAGATAGCTAACACATCACTTACATTAAGACACGTTATCCTTCTAAACGAAGCATGATAACTATTTAAGTTGACAAAACATTTTAATACTTAACAAGGTTTCCTTGGCCTGATTTCTAAGGGCAGTCCTTGAGTAGGTACAGGCATGGGATCCCTACTGAATTTGTTGTCTGCACAGAGCTTCCATGTGAACTGAGTTACCATATAATGAATTACAACAAGTATTTCAATCCTGGCAAACTCGTATCCTGGACATACTCGATGCCCTGCTCCGAATGGAATGAAGTTGTAGGGTGGAACTGATGCTTGGTTCTCGAACCTAGTTGGATCAAACTTTGATGGCTCTGGGAAAACGCTCTTGTCCATGTGTGTCATAGAAGTAGCCCAGAATATCTGACAGTATTGGATATTATTATCAGTTGTACGTTTCTGGAAGAAAATGGGACACGGATGCTAATAGCACTTTATTGTACATTTGAACTTACTTGCCACCCTTTGGGGATGAGAAAGCCATCAAAATCAATGTCTTTCAATGCCTTCCTGAAGCCACCAAAAACAGGAGGAGTTATTCTCATAGTTTCCATTGCTACTCTCCATGTGTACTTCATCTTGGCAAGGTCTTCCCATGTCAGAAACTCTCCTGGGGATTTGCTTTTAGCTATTTCTTCTTGTTCTGCAAGCCACAAATCAAGGGGCATCAGTTGCATTGGATCAGTGCCTTTTATGCAGGAAATTTGAAAATCTTGCCTCTAATATGCATACCCTGAAGAAGGGCTTCATAAACAGCTGGCTCGTTAGCTAGAGACCGAAAAAGAAAAGTAAGCACAACAGATGAAGTGTCATGTCCTGCAACCATGATTAGCATGATATTGTGCAAGATTTCTTTTTCTGTTATAACTTCTTCGTTGTCATCATTTCGGATGCTAAGCAAGCAAGTGACAAGGTCTTGGAGTGGAGAAATAGTTTTCTGCTCAAGTTCCACCCTCTTTTCGGATATGAGTTCCTTGATCATGTTTTGAACCCTCCTGCTAGCCTTGAGGCTGCGGTTGTAACGCGTGAACGGAAAGTTAACTGGGACTGACCACATTCCTTCTATCATTTGTTGGAAACACTCCACAAGTTCGTCTCTGCGAGTTCCTTGTTCAAGCCCGAAAAGCAGAGAGCACATTATGTTGAATGTGAGAATCTTCATCAGGGGCAAGGCCTATCAAGCAATAGAATTTAGAAACCTTTGATAATTGACATTGATCTTTGTTTGTTGCTTTGAGTTCATTTTCTTTTTTAATCTTAAAATAAAAAACAGGAGCAGAAGGCAATACAGGGAGGTTTCTGCTAGGTAACTCTTGTTTCACACATTCTAGGGACAGGATGCAGTTAGGTGGATAGAAAAAATGGCTTTGGCTGCCACAATTCCTATGATCAGAAAAACATGGTTGAAAAGATCTGATAGAAAAAAAAAAAAGAAAAAAAAAGTGTTGAACAACAGGGTAAACTCTTCTTTCACCAAATGGTGGCATTTGAAGTAAAGTTATATCATTTCAAAACCCCTTACAACTTTCTTTCTATTTTGAAATTCTATCACTGAAAGTTCTTGATAGGAATAACTTACTTTTACTTGTTGCTTGCCATGCCAATGCGTCTCAAGATGCTTCCTGGTTTCTTTGTCCATTTTTCCAACATATTGCTTCAGTGACTCAGGCTTCAAGAACAACATAAGAGCATTTCTTATACGCTTGTGATCATTGCCCCTCATCTCCAGTATATTCCGGTCACCCAAAATCATACGAATAGACTCCGTTTGTTGGCTGGTAATGGTACTGCCATCAGCGGTGAATATAAACTTGTTTGCAGCCTGTCCATGAATGAAGACTGTTGGTTTCCCAAAGAGACTTAGCTTCGAAACTGAACCGTACTTTCTGATTCTTTGTTCAAGCCATTTTTCAGCAGTATTGGCACGCATGGCTCTGAGAAGACCAAGGCTCTGGCCTATTATGGGCAGCCCGAGTGAGCCTGGAGGAAGCCTATTTGATGACTTTTTTCTTCTTGTAAGGAGAAGGAAGATGGGGATGAGGAAGAGGAAAACTGTGATGAGAAGAAGGATATCCATGATTTGTGAGGCTTTGTTTGTGGAGTGAAAGAACAGGAGTTTAATCCATCTTCAATTCAAAGAAAGCTAAATATGTTTTTGTTGTCTTCTGGGAGGGTATCTCATGTGCCTATAAGTCAACTATTCCATTTAGAACTCTGGAAACAAAACCCCACCAGACTTCTTGGTTTACAAGTGCACTTATACTTCAATTAAAGAATGCACAGAATGCAAAGTACTTGTAATATAATAAGTAATAGTTCAACATCATGTGTTGTATAATTCACTGTTTCTATACATTTAATAAATTAAATAAATTAGTATAAGGTGTCCAAGTTCTCTGGAATTATTCCCTCATTGTTTTTGTTTATTTAATCAGACAGAAAAACTTGACAATATAGCTAGAACTTTTGTTTTTTGTTTTTGTTATTAAAAGGTTCCAAGTTCGAATTCCCCCCTTCCCTTGATAAAAGAATAAAAGAATGTTTGGAAAGGTTAGTCTAAAATCACAGAGACAGATTAGAATGGTTTCTTTTCAATTTTTGCATACAGGACCCCGTAGATCTCATAAACGCTCTCGTGGCACGTTTTCGTGTAACATAATATACAACCTCTAGAGGTAGCTCGATAGAATTTAATTGCTTTAAATGCATGAATAGCATATAATATCGTTCCACATTGAGACATTTCGTATAGCAAGCATGATAAGTATTGAAGTTGAACAAACATCTTAATTAACATTATTACATTTGTTTCCTTGGCATGATTTCTATAGGTAGTCCTTGAGTAGGTACTGGCATGGGAACCCTACTGAACTTGTTGTCTGCGCATAGCTTCCATGTGAATTGAGTTACCATATAATGGATTGCAACAAGGATTTCAATCCTGGCAAACTCATATCCTGGACATATTCGTGTTCCTCCTCCGAATGGAACAAAGCTGTAGGGTGGAACTGATTTTTGGTTCTCGAGCCTACTTGGATCGAACTTTGATGGGTCAGGGAATATGCTATCGTCATTGTGTGTCATAGGAATAGCCCAGAATATCTAGCAATATTTGATGTTAGGATTTTCATCAATATTTCTATCTTTTTGAAAGAGAATGAGAATGAGACTTTCTGTAAATATATATGCTTATAGTAAATTTGAACTTACTTGCCACCCTTGAGGGATGAGGAATCCTCCATACTCAATATCTTTCATAGCCCTCCTCATGCCACCAAAGACAGGAGGAGTTGTCCTCAGAATTTCCATTGTTACCCTCCATGTGTACTTCATCTTAGCAAGGTCTTCCCATGTCAGAAGTTCCCCTAAGGATTTGCTTCTAGCTATTTCTTCCTGTTCTGTAAACACAAATGAACAAGCATCAATCACATTATGAAGGTTCCAACTCGTTAGTGATCCAATGGAATAAGGTAAACTTGAACGCTTCATTTTTCGTACGTCAAGTAGAATTTTAGAATTAGGGGGATTATGCATACCTTGAAGAAGGGCTGCATAAACAGCAGGTTCATTAGCTAGAAGCCGCAAAAGAAAAGTAATGACCACAGATGAAGTGTCATATCCTGCAGCCATAACTACTATGATATTGTGCAAGATCTCTTTTTCAGTTAATTCTTCTTCGTTGTCAACATTTCGAATGCTAAGCAAGCAAGTGATAAGGTCTTGGAGTGGTAAAGCAGTTTTTTGTTCAAGTTGCATCCTCTTTTCACGAATTAGTTCCTTAACCATGTTTTGAACCCTCTTGCTTGCCTTGATGCTGCAGTTGAAACGCGTGAACGGCAAGTTAAGAGGGACTGACCACAGTCCTTCTATCATTCGTTGAAAACACTCAATGAGTTCGTCTCTGCGAGGTCCTCGTTCAACCCCAAAAAGCAGTGAGCATATAATGTTGAATGTGAGGTTCTTCATGAGAGGCAAGACCTATGAACAACGGAAAAACTTTGTTAATGAAATGTGAATTTTCATTCAGCGAATAAGTGTAGATTTACATATCTGTTTAACTAATTGGCCAGCTAAACGCCTTTGCAGTAGGTATGGTCCCAACCTATATGAGTGCTAATTAAGTGTAATTTACTCAAATGCTTTTCATAGCGCTATAACTTACTGTTATTTTTTGCTTCCCATGCCAATTCAACTCAAGATGCTTCCTGATTTCTTCGTCCATTTTTCCCACATATAGCTTCAGTGACTCAGGCTTCAAGAACACCATAAGAGCATTTCTAACTCGCTTGTGATCCTCGCCACTCAGCTCCAATATGTTCCGGTCACCTAAAATCATTCGAGTGGACTCAGGTTGTTGGCTGGTAATGGTTTTGCCATCATTGTTGAATACAAACTTGTTTGCACCCTGTCCATGAATGAAGACTGTTGGCTTGCCAAAGAGACTCAGCTTTGAAACCGGACCATACTTGGTTATTCTTTGTTCAAGCCAATTTTCTGCAGTGTTGTTGCGCATGGCTCGAAGAAAGCCAAGGCTCTGCCCTATTATGGGTAGTCCCAATGAGCCCGGAGGAAGCCTTTTCGATGATTTTCTTCTTCTCGTAATGAGAAAGAAGATGGGGATGACCAAGAAGAAAATGGTGACAAGAAGGGTATTCATGATTTGTGTGGCGGAATTTGTTTTTGCAAGAGTGTGAGGGAGGGATTCAAGAGGAATGAAAAATCAATGCATATGGGGGAGGTCTTGTAAAGGAAAGGAAAAGAAGATAAATACTTTTTTCTTTTTCGGGTTTCGGGAGGGTGTATCGAAATATGCGGAAGCACATTGGTTTTGCAGAACTAGAAAGAATCGATACATAACACGATTATGGAGAAGAACATGGTACTGGTTCTTATAGTGCAGTGAAAACTCTGTTCATGATGGCAAGTTTGGCTTGGAATATAATTTCAGCTGTTTGGTAGTGCAGCGATAGTACCTCAGCTGTTTGTGTTTAGTTGTTTGTACACACCACCCATTCGGTGAAATTGAGGAATGAATGGTTTTCTACTTGGTTTGTTTAATAAAAAAAACTTCATTTCATGGCAATTTCCGCCTAGTTTGTAAATACATAGGTTTCATGTGTCACAAATGTCAAATGCATGAAGACACGTATTATATTTGTCATGATTCTGAACCCCAAACGTGCAAGACAAATTAGGTTGACTTGATCTTTGCTAGGTACTTAGAAAACATCACATTGATGCCTTGTTGATTTCACTTTTTGTTGTTTTTTGTATTCTGGAATTAGATAATGTTTTTGTGACCAATAAACTCTACAAAGACTAATTGTAATCATTAGTAAAAAAAAGTGGCAACAGTTACCATTATTTGGTGACATTTGTGGCCGTGACAAAAGGCATTAGTCATATTTTTTACTTTTTTGGTGACTAAAAAGGCTTTTAGTCACCTTTTTTGCTTTTTTCAGTGACTAAAGCCTTTAGTCACTCCCACAACAGTCGCCAAATGTTACCAAATAATGGTGATGGTCGCCACTTTTTTTTGTAGTATCATCGTTACATTGTAAGATATTATATGAGGAATCTAGGGTTAGCCGAGTGGTTGATTCCTTGGAGAGTATGGACAAAAGGGTACACTCAGGTTCACTAAGTATTTTACCCATTTTCTGAAATAGAAGTGTAGGACTCAGTTGAATGTCCCATTCAAATGAAACTTTTTTATGCATCTAATTTCTGCTTTGATGAGAAACTGGGGTTACTTCACATGCTTTGAAAGCCTTTTCCCCCCACCAGTAAAGAAGAAATTTTTAGCTAAACAAAGAAAACAAAGCAAAAGATTCCTTTCTAACACTTGTGATGGGGATCGGGATCAGGATACAGGTCACCAACCACATACACGAGCACCGAAATATAGGGTTAGTGCAAACTCACATATATCGTAGCAAATCCATGCTACAAATAAACTATTTCATTAATCATCAATATTCCATTTTTTTACAACTATTACAATAGCCTTATTTATAGGCTTTACAAGACTTGGGCACCAAGACTGCTTGGTCCAAAAAGTAAACTAATTAATTATAAAATCACACATAAATAATAAAAGATATCCTAAAACTACCTAAATAAGAAAATAACAATATATCATGAAATAACTAATTAAATGATAAATATCTATCTTGATCCACCCTATGCTCCTGCATCAGACTCCCCTGGTTGGAAAGAATTCGTCCTCGAATTCAAGCCTTTGATTGAGGAAAATCTGAGTAGAATCTTCAATTGCTTCATATTAATTCTGGATCTTTTAGCATCCAATTGAAACCTTCCTTTCCAAATAAAAAGATATTTGGAATATTTCGTTATTCTTGGCTTCTTCTTACTCCCTCTAACAATGCAAATGTTTCTAACTTTGATGAATAACAAGATGCACCAAAATTACCAAATCTATTTATACCTTCAAAGACACAATGAGAATAACCGTGCCCCTCTTCACTTGACTCACACAGCGAAGCGCAATAATGAAAAGGGTTATCCCCCTCGTACTCCCTGTCGAGACTCCCAAGGCTTAGAGTGTCGATGCAAGCTACTCGGTTCAGATAAAGGTTCACGCATCTCTTCCCGTCAGAACTCTTACCTATCTGGGTTCGAGCTTCGATGCGAGCGACGCGTTCCGTAAGTTGTCGTAGCATCCTCCTAATTTCCTCCATGTCGTTGTAGTTGTCAACACGACCCTCCATCCAAAAACCTCCCCGATAAAGCAGATCTTGAGTCATAGCTATGATACCAATTGATGGGGATCGGGATCAGGATACAAGTCACCAACCACATACACGAGCACCGAAATATAGGGCTAGTGCAAACTCACATATATCGTAGCAAATCCATGCCACAAATAAACTATTTCATTAATCATCAATATTCCCTTTTTTTACAACTATTACAATAGCCTTATTTATAGGCTTTACAAGACTTGGGCACCAAGACTGCTTGGTCCAAAAGTAAACTAATTAATTATAAAATCACACATAAATAATAAAAGATATCCTAAAACTACCTAAATAAGAAAATAACAATATATCATGAAATAACTAATTAAATGATAAATATCTATCTTGATCCACCCTATGCTCCTGCATCAACTTGGGTCGGTCCTGCGCTCCCATGGATTCGATTAAAAGTACACAGTAAACAATGAATTCAAGGTATGAAACAAGATTCGAACCACACTTTCTGAAACAAGTTATATGTTTCATTTTATACACACAACCTGATATAGTACAGTATCTAGAGTTGCAATTTTGTACAGATAAAATCCAGTCATGAGAGCGCTTCAACCAAAATGAAGTGGTTTTAGTTTCAGGAAACTGAAACATATGTTAGGAGTTCCAATTGAAAGGTTTTAATCTAGCTAAACTATAGTCTACAATTTCATGAAACAGAAAGGTTGAGTGAACTCAATCCAAACTTCTGAATTATGATGTGAATAATCAAGGGGAAACTTGAAAGTACGATTTCTCAATAGCACTGATTGTAAGGTGCTACAAAATATATGGGACCTGAAACTCTGTTAAACTAGATTCCTCAAAATGGTTTGAACAGAACAGATAAACCTTGTTCAATCATTCAGGTGAGCTTTGCTTGTTTATTAAGTGGGGACACATGATTCTAGATTGTCCAGAAAATATGATATCCAAGTGTATGTATTTAGATGAACATTCAACTGAGCCAAGTAATAATATTCAACTGAGCCAAATATCCCAAGTGTATGTATTGAATAGATGCTCTTACATTGCAATGATTTGGTTGCATTTTATGTACTGGGTCTATTGATTTGATTTGATTCTTCCATTTTCTCCCCATCAATTTTCAAGTACCTAAATTTATCATCTTAATATTTGTTAGGTTATGGATCATTGGCGTAGAAACCAGTTTCAGGCTCTCTCATGTCTACATTGTTCATTTGTGTGCTTGTTTAAGTTTCTATTTTGCATTTACTATTGATATGCAAATCAGCAGCAGCGAAGGACGCAAGAGAAAAAATTCAAGAAAAACGCATTTATTTTGTTTTCAATAATAGGGATCTTTTTTTAGTTTGTTTTGGGTTTGGGTTTTTCAAAATGGACCTACCAAACGAGTTTCTAAGCCTTTGGACTTAAAATTTATTTTTGAATTTATAAAATTGGACTCAAATCAAATACCGAACAAGCCATAAACATTCTCAAAAAGACTGGGCTGTGGAAGCTCAAATACTGTTTGGTGGTTTATGCTATAAATTTGACCTCTTTTAATTTGTTGAATATTATGCCAGTATTTAATTTCCCATATATTTGATAGGATTTACTTTTTTAATTTTTAAACTATGATCCACATCCATCATTACATGCTTATAACTTATTGATTTTTCCTTGTTTTTAAACTCTTTCAATTCTTTTTATAATTGTATGCTTTTGTTTTGTACTTTTTCCTATTTACTTTTATTTTACAGTTTATTACATCCCATTACAAATGCAAAAGCAAAGAATGGAACTAATTCCATTCCATCCTAATTCCCAACCAAACTATGTACTAGATAGATTCTATTCTTTGTTTAATTCCATTTCACTGCCTTTCCTACTCCCATTCTCAATCCCTTAAGGCCTGTTTGGTGGGCTGGCTTCGACATGGGCTTTTCTCTCCCTCAGCCTCCTTTGCTTTCGTCTCTAGTTTGAGCGAGCTTCTCTTTTCTGAATCTCTTTCTCTTATTTGTTTTCTCCACCATGGTTTCAACGCCCCTCTGTCTGCTGTGATTTTAGCCATTGTTGCAAGGTAGCTTCTTTTTCTCCATTTTCTTATCCATTCGAGTTTTATTTTTCTCGATTTCCATGTTTGATTCCAACATTTGAACTCCGTTGATTTGGCTGCTTCACGGTTTACTTTCTAAAACTTTTTTCTGAATCTAACTCATTGGTTGATGTGGGCATTTCTATTAAGTTTTCACAATTCAAAAACCGCACAAGACGACCTGTGTTTTCTTATTCTCGCTTTCTTCAGTTCTCTGTTTCTTTTTTTTTTCTCTTCTGATCTGAAATTTTCTTCCTTTTTGACGTGGAATACGTTAAATTGTTAGGATTCTCTAGCTGATAGAGTTTGGGTTTCCTTGCTTCTAGGATTGTAGTGGTTTGAAGTCATGCATAATAATCCCTACTCTTAAGGGACAAGTTATTTTCTGTTTAGACTTAGTCATGTACCAACATTCAACTGAGCCAAGTAATAATATTCAACTGAGCCAAATATCCCAAGTGTATGTATTGAATAGATGCTCTTACATTGCAATGATTTGGTTGCATTTTATGTACTGGGTCTATTGATTTGATTTGATTCTTCCATTTTCTCCCCATCAATTTTCAAGTACCTAAATTTATCATCTTAATATTTGTTAGGTTATGGATCATTGGCGTAGAAACCAGTTTCAGGCTCTCTCATGTCTACATTGTTCATTTGTGTGCTTGTTTAAGTTTCTATTTTGCATTTACTATTGATATGCAAATCAGCAGCAGCGAAGGACGCAAGAGAAAAAATTCAAGAAAAACGCATTTATTTTGTTTTCAATAATAGGGATCTTTTTTTAGTTTGTTTTGGGTTTGGGTTTTTCAAAATGGACCTACCAAACGAGTTTCTAAGCCTTTGGACTTAAAATTTATTTTTGAATTTATAAAATTGGACTCAAATCAAATACCGAACAAGCCATAAACATTCTCAAAAAGACTGGGCTGTGGAAGCTCAAATACTGTTTGGTGGTTTATGCTATAAATTTGACCTCTTTTAATTTGTTGAATATTATGCCAGTATTTAATTTCCCATATATTTGATAG